GCTCAGTGTAGCACAGTGTGACATTCACAGGAGGATGTTGAAGGCAGTGTGACATCAACCCTGTTGGCTGCAGAGAAATAATTTGCCAGAACATTGCATATTCCGTATTAGAAGGAAATTGTATTGCCCGTGGAGTATATCTGCTGTAATCAGGATGAATAACGACATGCCAGTAAAATATGTATTCTCTGCTTTGATACAAATTGTGTGCAGTATTTTATATTTGATAATACACATCAGACATAGATACACCTACAGATCAGACAATAATTTAACAATGAGCATTACTTGTTGAAAGCTTACATGATAAGAAGTTGGTCATTCACTTTATGGCTATTTATCGGACTTTGCTAGCAGAGATTGGCTGCCACGATTGCCTACAAATACAACAACAACAACAACAAAATTACATTTATAGAGCACCTTTCAAGTCGGGAGGACTTCCCAAGATGCTGAACAGTCAAGTGTCGGGGCCCGAGCATGGGGGAGGGGTGGGGTAGGGGTGAGGGAAGGCAGAGAGGTGGGAGGGAGACCAAAGGCACGGTCGAAGAGAAGGGTTTGAGACCGGCCTTGAAGGAGGCAAGGGAGGAAGTGAGGCTAAGGGACCGTGGTAGTTCCAGAGTGTGGCGGCAGAGAGGCTGAAAGCCCGGCCACAGATGGTAGGGCGGGTCGAGCGGGAGACATGGAGCAGGCTGGAGCCCGCTGAACGGAGGGAGCGGGCAGGTTGGTAGGGAGTCAGCAGGTCAGAGAGGTAGGAGGGGGCAAGGTTATGGATGGCCTTAAAGGTGAGGACGAGGATCTTGAACTCGATCCTCTGGGGGATGGGGAGCCGGTGGAGTCGGGCGAGGGTGGGAGTGATGGGGTCACGGAGCTGCAGAGTTTTGGATGATCTGCAGCTTGTGAAGGGAAGAGTTGGGAAGGCCGATGAGGGAATTTCCATAATCGAGCCTTGATGTGACGAATGCGCGGGTGAGGTTTTCAGCAGCCTGAGGGGTGAGGCAGTGGCGGAGTCTGGCAATGTTGCGGGGTTGGTAGTAGGCAGTGCCTGTCATGGTGTGGATGTGGGGGAGAAAGGACAATTCAGGGTCAAACAAGACACCCAAGTTCCTGACTGGCTTAGTGAGGATGAGTGTGCAGCCTTGGAGGCTGATGCTGCCAGCGCCCGAGGTGTGGAGCCAATGACACGAGCCCATCAGGAGGGCCTCGGTCTTGCTGATGTTGAGTTGGAGAAAGTTGTCCCTCATCCAGGACTTGATGTTGGACAGGTAGTCGGTCAGGACGCCAGTAGTCCTGGAGTTGAGGGTGGAGGCAAAGAGATAGAGTTGGGTGTCATCTGCATACATGTGGAAATTTACCCCATGTCTGCAGATGATGTCACCAAGGGGGGGCAAGTAGAGGGTGAAGAGGAGGGGACCGAGGACAGAGCCCTGAGGAACACCGTACAAGACGACGCAGGGGCTGGAGGAGAAGCCGTTTGCTGTGACGACGTGGAGGCGGTGTGACACTACAATACACGAGGGGACAGGTGTTCTGGAATGCTGGAATTGATCACAAGATTGTACGGAATATGGGGATAATATTTGCTGTCATTTTATTGTGTTATTTAAAGATCAGATATTCTACCCAGCAGTAAGTAGAAACCCGGTAGTTAGTCGATTGTTGGATCGCTTTTCTGAGGGTAAGAATCCCCTAAAAAATATGTGGTCACTCAATCCACGAACAATAATTATTTTTTTTCATTTTTCTAATTTAAATAATTATACATTTGTTATTGAAGGAACATCCTGCTCTGCTTCACCTTCTCTCTCAACTCCAATAATGATCATATTTACAGAGATAAATTTACCGTCCTGAATTCCCACCACATATACCTACACCGTGTGTGCCTTTGAGGCTTTCAGAAGGCTTCATCCCAAATTCTAGGATTATTGGGATGAAGAATATTTGCCTTGGAGACATTTTAAGTATTGGCTTTCTTTATGTAGGTGCATAAAACTTGTATTTTACTGGATTTCTATCAGAAATGATAGTAGTGGGAGAAGCTAGGACTTAGAGCATCAACCGACTGAACTCACTGGATGAGACCCATTTCTGATCTGTCTTAATGGCTTGGATGATATTTCTTTGTGCTACAAAGTTGTCTGGATTTTAGAGCAATCCTTATTCTATTTTCTGCTATAAATATGACATTTGAAACTCTCCAATGATACTCTAGGAAAGGTGTGGAAGGAAGCAGGCTAAATTTGAAGAGGTGAGATACAATACAATTTGCATTTATATAGCTCCTTTTACGTTGGGAGGATATCTTAAAGCATTCAAAGAGGTGTGGGGTTAGATAAATGTTTGGGTATATTTGCTTGATTAAATTTGATAAGGGAATATCTAATTATTACTTTATGATAGTGCAGGATTTGTTTGACAGTGGAAGGAGCAGGTTCAACGAGCCAGATAAACTTTCCTTATTGCACACTTTCTTGCATTTTTTGATTGTCTCGGGTTGAGAAAGTGGAGAGAGAGAGTCTGGTAAATCCCTCAAAATTCAAAACGTGAAATCCACTGATGACACATACTATACTGGAATTATTCAGGATGAAGATTTTTTAAGTCCTTCAAATTATAATAATCCTTGCATTTGATATAATATATAATTTGTGGAGTCCTGTAGCTCAGTGGTTAGAGCACTCGCTTTGCAAGTGAGAGACCTGAGTTCAATTCCAGGCAGAGGGCGAAACCTTGGGCAAGTTTCCTTACTCCACACACAGCCTAATAATAATCCCTCCAAAACCCAAAACAATAATAAATTGGTCATTTTCAATCTATGACTGTTTGTGGGACATTGCTGTGCGCAATTGGCTGCCGCGTTCGCCCACAAATATACAGTCAATTCACTTTACAGTGTGTTCTGTGAAGCGCTTTGGGACGTCCTCCCGACGTGAAAAGCGCTATATCAAATGCAAGGATTATTATTATTATACCTTCGTCGAAACGTCTCAAAGTGCTTCACAGGATATATTGTCAACTGAATTGTTTGTGTATTTTTGTGACTGAAATGCAACAGCCAGTTTTGCACACAGCGATGTCCCACAAACAGACATGGAGTGAATGACAAATTTTATTTGGGATATTGTTGGCCAGGACACTGCGAGAAACTCCCTACTCTTTTCAAATAGTGCCATGGAATTTTAACTGGCCACCTAAACAGGTAGACCGGACTTCAGCTTCATGTCTTGTCTGAAGGACAGCACCTCCGACAATACAACACACCCCAGCACTGCATTAGGAACATAGGAACCGAGGAGGCCATTCAGCCCTTCGAGCCTGTTCCACCGTTTAATTAGATTATGGCTGATCTGTACATCAACTAATCCTTTCAATTCTGATTTCCCACTTTCTCCCCATATCCCTTAATGCCCTGACCTGCCAAATATCTATCAACCTCACTCTTGAAGGTCTGGAGTCCAGACGTGGGCCTTGATCCCACAACCTTCTGACCCGGAGGCAAGGACGCTAACACTGAGCCAGGCTGATGCATCAAATGAAAGCCCAGGCGGTATTTGCTTCTGTCATTGCCTCATTTGCCATAAAGTACAATCGTGCTCAGGCACACTACAGCACAGATAATACTTTAGTTGTGTAGGTATAATACAAATGACATTCATGTAGCACCTTGCACTTTGGAAGGACATCTCAAAGCCCTTCACACAGCTGCCTGGGCACCCACGCATGGGTGGGGTGGGAGCTGAAGAGGGTGAAGGGAGGGAGCGAGAAAATCAGGACAGTATTCCGATCCAAAGTAGTACCCAAATGGTGCATGAAATTTGTACTGATAAACTGCCATCTTTCTTCGTAGAAACAAAAAAATCAGTGAATCACTTGTTATAACAGAAACATTGCACATCCAAATACTCAAATTATACTTGTAACATCGGAATTAGGAATTTTTTTACTGGGATTTGGAGGATGAGGATAGAAATTCTATCTTAGCTCATTCTAGCCACCATACCAATTGAACATTCATTTGATGCGGAACCAGATACAAATTACTAGAAAGGTTTAAATTATTGTTGACTAAATGTTATGTGGGCTGCCATTAGGAGGAGCGAAAGCATCTTGGAGGAGTGGAGGAATGAAGAGCAGAGCAATCTTGAGGAGAAGAGCAGCTCTAAAAACTAAGTAGTTTCTAAAGTGAGAATTTGAGAAGGCTGAAAGTGACCCCTGGAGAGAGAGGAGAGGAGAGGAGAGGAGAGGAGAGGAGGACTTAGAAGACAAAATGGCTCTGAGGAGAACAGCGAGAAAAGAACGAAACATACAGAGAAGAACTGTGCAGTCTTGAGGAACACATTAATGACCGAACGCAACAATGAATCCACTTGAAAATCTGATTGCATTTGTTCACGCAATCTGAACTAACTTGTTCACATTTTCATATGTTCAGGACTGTCTGACACAATGCTACAAGGAATATTCAAGAGTTTCCTAATTACAATTTTGGCTTATTCACAAATGTGTATTCATAGAGTGTTAATGTCAGTCTCTTTGTTTGAAATTACGCTTATTTCACTCGTATATAATTTGAACTAAGACCTCACAAAGCACCAGATTATTTTCTACAGTCCCTTAAAAAAACTTTCCTTAATATCTTGTAACTTGATATCAATGGAGTCCTGTGGCTCAGTGGTTAGAGCACTCGCTTTGCAAGTGAGAGACCTGAGTTCAATTCCCGGCAGAGGGCGAAACCTTGGGCAAGTTTCCTTACTCCACACAGAGCCTAATAATAATCCCTCCAAAACCAAAACCAATAATAAATTGGTCATTTTCAATCCACGACTGTTTGTGGGACATTGCTGTGCGCAATTGGCTGCCGCGTTCGCCCACAAATATAGTCAATTCACTGTGAAGCGCTTTGGGACATCTAGAAGATGTGAAAAGCGCTATATCAAATGCAAGGATTATTATTATTATTATTATAATATCTTAATATTTTTTCTCTATCTTTTCAGGACACATGACATAGGATGAACACTGCTCATTGCCTGATACTCTCTGTATTGTCGTTCCTTGTTCTGCTCATTTGGGGGTTTGATGTCAGTGAGAACGTATGTAACCAGTTGGTTTCCGGAGTTCTGTACAGATCATTCTCCCTAAAGGACATATTCCCTAAAGCCTCCTCTTTTTGCTCCTGGACCATCGAAAATCCAGATCCCACAAAGTATTCGATATACTTAAAATTTCACAAGGAGGAACACATTTGCTTTCATACCTCTCTGATGGTATTGCAGTTGGACCATTACGATCACAACAAGACCTGCAGCACATTGGATTACATTGACTATGATGCTGTCAACTTGTGTGAAACTAGGAGTTTGTTTACACTGTTACAGTTTGATAAAGATTTTGTCCAATTTTGTTTGGCATCGGAATCTGTTTTGAACACCCGCATCAGGGAAAATGTGATGGAATTTCACACTTTAGAGTTTCTATTACTGAACAATGGGAACTCCAGTCAGTTTGGCTGTGGAATATTGTGCCGTTGGATTGAGGAATGTTTGGGCAACAGTGATGGAAGTGATTCATGTGGAATAATTTACTCAGGATGCATATGCCTGGAGATGCACGAAAATGAGCCTGCTTCAAGCATGGTATTATCTTTCAGTGCAAACAAGCTTTTTGGATCAGAACTTCAATCTAGGAACGCTTTTGACTTAAATGTTGAGGATGTTGCACCAAAAACTGGTAAGTGATAGATTAGCAAACTTTCTGGCTTCATTGTGAGATTCTGAAATGCATCCATTATCTTATTGATCCTGAAATTATGATTTTCTCATAAAGAATAAATGTTTTGCATGCATCTTAATCTGAAAAGTTTTTATTGTCTCTATAACGTATATTAATGGATGAAGAACTGTTAACATAATAACATAAGAAATACTAGATGNAAAAAAGATCAAGATCCATCTAGTTCGCCTTCCACCTTCCTGGCGGTCACATGAACATATCTCCCGATATATGTACTATATCCCATAATGTTGTTTTCTAAAAGAATAAGAATTTTACTAACGTAGTTAATATTAGTTTTATTGTGTGATTTACCAAAATATCAAATTTTGCAGGAACATGTAAGGCTATGAAGCAATAACTTACATCTCCCAGTTCATTTTCATGTTATTTTATCTTTGAAGTTAGATTTAAAAAAAGAAGAAATCTCACATAATGGATTACATAACAATTGTCAGTTTCAATTGAGCTGATGGTTATAGTGTGTGATTTTAGAGGTTTGAGTACTGTTCATGCATAACTTAAAACCTAAGTCTCACAATTCTATGGCCTTTGAATTTACAAGATACTGAAAGCAGTTTCTTCAGAATCTTTTCTCTTGTTGCCTAGTAATGTGCATACAATGCATCCAAAAAAATCTAACCAGCAGGAAAATTGCCCTCATCGCTGTATCGTGCGGTTTTCAAATCCAATTGTTTTAGCAAACCTGTGGAATTAAAGGACCCCACAATGGTCCAACCTGAAAAGGACAATGATTCTCATTGTAGTTCTCATAGAACCTTTGTGACAAAATAAAGACAGTTACAGATTCAGAGATACGTGATTGATCAGTTTTTTTAGCATTGCAAGGTGTGTGGGGGGGTTGGAGAAGGGAAGATGACTGAAGGCATGGCCGAAAAGGAAGGTCTTGAGACGGGCCTTGAAGGAGGAAAGGGAGGGAAAGACGAGGAGGGGCTCCGGGATGGAGTTCCAGAGGTTGTGGGCAGAAAGGCTGAATGTCCAATGGCAGATAGTGGAGCAGGCAAGCGGGGGACATGGGGCAAGCCGGTGCCTGCAGAGCGGAGGGAGCGCACAAGTTGGTGAATTTTTAACAGGTCGCAGGAGCAAGAGCGTGAAGGACTTTAAAGGTGAGGACAAGGTTCTTGAACTTGAAGCCGGGCAAGGATAGGGGTGATCAGCTCACGAAGCTTGGTGTGGGAGAGGACCTCACTAAGCTTTAAAATTACAAATTACATGCGTAGATTTGTTGCGAGAAAGTCAATGATGCTGTTGACTTGTTGTATAAACTGCAACAGCATTTTTAGCTTAAATTTGGACAGTTCTGAATTTTAATATTAAACAATGAAATCTACAACATTATTTGTAGCAAATAATACAAGGTGACCAAAAAGTCGTGATGCTACCCTATTATCTTAAAATAAAACAAAAAGGTCGTCATTTCTTTAGGACTCATTAGACATTGTAACGGTATCACGACTTTTTGGTTACCCTGTAGATGAACAGAAAAATTATGTCATCTCCTCATTCCACATGGCTGCATTTGCTGGTACCACTCAATGAAAGCAGAGATCAAGAAAACTAATGTATTTGAAATGTAATTTCAATTCTGTAAATGACAATCTCTATGCTTTGAGATTCTCGTCAGTATTAAATTTTGAATTTGCATCATTCAGTTGAAGTTGATTAGAAATAACGGAGTGAAGCTATTATTTCTGTGTAGGCAATTCAACACTGATCAAAAAGAAACAGTTTATTTTAAGATCAGTCGAGGCTGCAACTACAGCTTTATGAGGTTAAGGCTTATGTCAACTTGAATATAAGTGTTTTCTTTGAAACCAATCTGAGATTTATTTATTCTCTTGTAAGATCAGAAGGTAGAAATTTATGTTTAAAATGTGAAATTCCTTGAAATTGTGCTTTGGTGTTGCTCATGTTTCTCACATGCATTTGATTATTCTTTTTAAGTTGGCTTGTCCAGTATTTTTTGAGAATTATAGTCATTTGAAGCACTTTGAGACGTCTCGAAGACGTGATAAGGCATTATGTCAAATGCAATGATTATTAATATCATCATCACTGTAGAAAGAAAGTCCCTATCATGTTAAACATCTTGAAGTGCTTTACAAGTAACTGCTGTCAACTGTAGTGACTGTTTTTGTAGCCAAACACAACAACTGTTTACACCAGCAAGTTCTACATTCATGAGGTGAGTGACCAATTTTTCTGGAGGATTGTTAGCAGGGTTACTTGGAGATATTCCCTTGACTTTTTAGATTGTGTCATAGGATATTTAACATCTACCTGAAAACTGGCAACTGGAAGGAGCTTGGTTTAACAATACTTTATTGGAGTGTTAGCATGTGACTTTGTGATCAAGCCCAAACTAATACATTATTCTAGTAAAGGAAACAATAATAATAATAATAATCCTTGCATTTGATATAACTCTTTTCACATCTTCTCGAAGTCTCAAAGCGCTTCACAGAATATACTGTAAAGTGAATTGACTGTATATGTGGTTTTATTGCTCATCTTATTGTAAATGCACAGTAACTTGTTACTGGAAGGATTTCACTGTCACATTTCATCAAAAATAATAACCCTTCCATTTGATATAGTGCAGTGACACTAGGCGAATGTGGCCTATTTGTGCACAGCAATATCCCACAAATAGCCATTAATTGAATGATCAATTTTATTTGGGGGATTATTAGTCCAGACACCAGGAGAAAGTCCTGTCTTTTTTAAGTCCTGTCATAGGATCTTCAACGTCCACCTGAACAGACAAACAGGACCTTGGTTTGAAATCTCATCCAAAGGTGAGCACAGTATTGGTGTAAGCCTATATTAAGTGAGTTTTGAGCCCACAACCTTTCATCTCAGAGGCGAGAGTACCAGCAACTGAGCCACAGTGACAGCCATGTTGAAAATCAGAAAGGAAAAAATAGGTTCACATTTTTGGTTCAACCATAAATAGGTTAGGACTTGTTTGATCTTTATCTAATTGTGGAACCCATCGTCCCTTGTGATGGTATCAAACATTTCATGAACTGTAAACATCAAACAATGGCTGTTTGATACATGCGCAGGGGAAGCCATAAAAAGATGTCCAATACCAGGTAAATGAATTACTCCCTTTGACGTGGTTTGTACAGTAACACAGAGAGTTGAGCTTTTTTTTCTTGTGTCAGCTATTCAGATACATTGAAGCCAGCCCTGCTTAGCTGGTTCCAGTTTCATGTTTCAAGCTTGACCAATGTAGATGATAACCCAACATGACAGTTGCGTATCACTGCTTTTCAGAAGGTGACAGTTAAATTGTTCAGCGATCTGTAGAACACAATCCTTAAGGCAATTGTCAGAAGGCGCCTTCTGTATTGATGAAACATATTTCACCAGAGAGAATGTGTGTTGTCTGAGGACAAGGCAACAATAACAGGTGAAATAATGTTAAGGTCATAGATACACCAGAGGACTTTTCTTTCCTCAGGATAAAGAATTGCTATCTTGGGTGGGGTGGACTTTCTTCCGTAACAAATAAATTTTCTGCCTCAGTGGCACCTTTGGTAGACTATGGTATCTTTGACGTCAGGACAATGTTTCAAAGCACTTCACAGGATTTTACTGTTTCTTTGTAGGCAAACATGTCTGCCCATTTGCTCTCAGCAGTGTCCCATAAACAGCCATGAAGTAGTCCCATGGGATCTGAACAGATGGCACCTTGGTTTAAGATTTCATCCAAAAGATGACACCTCAAACAATGCCCTCCTTCCCCCACTCCCCCAGCCCACCCTGGAGTGTCAGCCTAGATTATGTTGGTTCAAGGTCTGACGTGGGGCTTGTTTTATAAGTAACGGTGTGGAATATAAAATCAAACATGTGCTGCTCATCTTATACAAATTGTTCATTAGAAAACAGTTAGAATATTGTGTCCCGTTTTGGTCACCTCACCCCCTTTAAGAATGTCGTCAAGGCAATAGTGAGAGTACAGAGCAGATTTCCAAGTGTGCAGTTTGCCCAATAAGTAGAGACTGGAGGAACTGATACTTTTTTTTCTTAGAGCGAAGTGTTTGAGGGGTGGCCTGATAGAAGTCTTTAAAATTATGAGGAATTGACGTACATAAATCCTTAAATGTAAAAAGACAGGTGGACAAGGCTGTTAAGAAAGAAAATAGAATCCTAGACTCTTGATAGAGTCAATAGGGAGACATTATTTCCACAGGTCAGTGAGTCAGTGACTAGAGGGCATCAATTTAACGTAGTCAGCGAAAGAGCAAATGGGCAGGTTAGGAGAAATGTTTTCACGCGCAGTTAGGATACGCAATGCCCTGCCTGGAGCAGTGGTCGAGGCAGAATCCATATTAGCTTTCCAAAGGAATCTCAAAACAATACAAATTTATATTTATATGTAGTGGCTTTCACGTTGGGAGAACCAAACTTTACACCCATGTTCAGAGCGGAGGCTGAATGGGTAGGAGGGTGGCGAGGGGTGCAGGGAGGGGGTGGGGGGGGCGGAAGATAGCTGAAAGAACTGTCAAAGAGGAAGGTCATGAGATGGGATCTTGAAGCAGACGAGGGAAGGAGCAAGTAAATGGGACTGAAAGGATTGCTCATAAAATGGCCTTCTTCTGTTCTATAACTTTCTACGGGGACGCTTAAACCACCACAGACATGGTGGCCAAATAGCCTTCTTTTTTCTGTACATTTTATGACTCAATCATTCTGATCTTTCACTGTTTGGCCTACAAGCAGTGAAATGTGTTTCATCATATCAATAGATATCAGTGCCTGCAGTCACGATGCACAACTTTTGTCTGCACACAGAATGAATTTGCAACTTTTTTTTGTTGAAAAAAACGTTTGTTTGAAATCAAAAAAAAAAAAAATTCTGAAGACTCAACAAGAATATTCAGTCATTTTCAGGGCGTTCTCAGAAAATGAAGATGCAAAGGTCAGCC